CATGGAGGCAGAAGTCTCCTACAAACTCCCTGGGAACTTGTAGGGCTCCTCCCCAAAGCATTGGATGACTCTTTGTGGTTACTTTTCCAGAAATTGAGAGCAAAGGATTTTTGATGTATGCCCCATCAGAAACTGGATGGTAAGATACATTGAATCCTAATCTGTGCTATTTCATCACTAGCTGTAAAATTGGGTACTGTAAGGACGTAGGAGGTTCCAGGACAGTTTGGATGGATTCAGACGAGAGATCTCTGTTGGTTGCTCTTAGAAGATAAGGTTTATTCGGGATGGTGAAAGGTCCTGCCTCGAGCTGCTAGACACAGCACGTGGCAGGGCCTTAGGTGATGGGGGAGGGGAGAGACAAAGGGAAGAGCAGGGAGTTCCAAGAGGGGGGGATCCAAGAGGAGGGAGGAAGTTCCAAGAGCGCGTCTGGCCCCTTGGAGACCCCTTATCGGGGGCTTCAAGGTGGGCTGGAACAAGACTTGGGCCAATGGGGTTACGGACACTTGATGTTTCAGGGGAGGGTTACAGGTGTGGGATGAACCATACATTCTGGGGGGTGAGATGGAACAGTCTATTTGACTTTTGGACCTATCTGTAGGTAAGGGTATTGTCCAGCCAGTAGGAGGCATTATATTCATCCTGGCTGTACTACTGTGATTCTTCTGCTAGGCAGTCATATTTATCTATCCTTCCCAACAGGGTACCTTATTATTGTGCACTGTATGTTATCTACTAGTAGTCTTTCCTTGTTTATCCTGTGCGGTAAGTAATCTGTTAAAGTCTTATGTCTGTTAAATTGTTTCTATTAAATAAATAATTCATTTTATAATAGGCCTAATCAGTCATTATTAAGAACCTGTGAGTGAGAGTGGTTTTGGGGTGCTGGCTGCCTCAGTAAGCTACTGTCTACTGCCAGAGTCCTGGGCAGAGGCAAGGACTTGTTTAAACTCCCCTATCCATTTGTAACAAGTGTCCGTGGTTAAGTCTACCCCTTGGTCACGAGCTCATCTGTATGTTGCATCTCTTCCCTGCTAACCTGAGGTGCCATGGGCTCACCAAGCCAGAAATACTTCACCATTATGTTGCTGGTTCAGATCTTCCTGAGACACTTTAATCTTAGCAGCCAGATCCACCTGTTCATTGTTGCAATGTTCTTCACTAGCCCAACTCTTGTGTACATGTGCATCTCCCTTACATACTTTTAAAGCCAGCTTCTCTACGCAGTCATCAATGTATTGCCACAATTCAGTAGCCCAGATGGGTTTCCCTCTGTGCTGCCAATCATTTTTTTTCCATCTGTCTAGCCATCCCCACAGAGCATTTGCCGCCACCTTGTGGCAGGACATTCTCCTACCACAGGAGAGCTTATTTGTTCTGCCTATCAGCTGGTGCGATAGCTCAGGGGATCTTCCTCCTCACATGAATCTGCTAATTGGTGAGATAACCCAAGCCAGACATCTGTCCAGTAGTGAGTTATCTCTGGTGCCATTGATGCCTTAAGTTTTAGCTTTCCTATTTTTCAGATTCTGTACTGCATTAGTATATAACTCTGAACTTCATATAAAGTGTTAGCAAGTTCTCTTCACAGTTTAGTTAGACAAAACAATCCTTTTCCAGCCTGATAACCAAGGACACTGTTACAGCTTCGGGCCCAAAATGTATAAACAACAGCGAATTGAGGAGAGCAATCTGGGAGGATGGGACTTTATAATCAGAAGCTGTAATTGGACAATTAACCCCAATATATAAATGAACCAAAACTTATAAAAGTGTGAAAACTCGTGACTGTTGTCCATCTTGGTCCATCTTGGGTAGAGCCACAGCCAGGCTCTTGTACTGCCCAAGATGTATCCTTTGAAGGCCTTTTAAATAAATATCTACTTTATTCCTTTAACACTGTCTAGCCCCTTGTTGGTGAGAGTGTCGCGGGAGACAAGCCTCATGCTGTCATGATCAACAAGTCTCAGTTTATTGGAGTCGATTACAGTTTCTTTGTACAAGCACTAATTAGTTCATACATATTGCAAAAGCGAAGCTCAGGATTGGTTACCTTTCTATTAACACATATATCTCTTTGCGATAAGCCTTGCAGTTACTGTTTCTTTATACTTGATTATCTTTCTGCATACTAAGCAATTTTACATCTTGGTTGTTAACGAGACACCTGTATGCTCAAGGTTGTTAGGAGACATCTGTTTCTCAAGGGCATAGTTTTCATGCTACAAGTCACGTATTCTCACACTTTCATCAACTTAACCCTTTCGTGTCTCCTGCTGCGCAGCCATTCTTCAGCTAAACTCTTGACATTTCCCCTGTTTTTTCTATAAGCAAGCAAGGATGTGTTCCATTTTTGTTCTATAATTGACATTAAAGTTCTTTGCAAGCACTGAAATACACACGGCAATGCAAGCATTAAAATTACTATAACTAACAATCCTATTATCATAAGCTGCAAAAGGTGTTTAAGCTAACCCGTAATTTTCCATGATTCAAATGATAATCTAAAAAATGTATCATCCCTCTGTAACACCTGAACATGTTGTTGCAAACGCTGAATTTTTTTTCTGAATAGATTTGGAACTATTTTTCAAATTTATATAGCACGTGCCTTTAAATTTTTCGCACTCATGCCTTTGTGCTATTTGAATTCATTTGAGCTCGGGTCTATGTTTTGAACTCTGCTATGGGACCCAACGAGACTCCAATTAAATAAGTATTAAAGGAGTTAGATGGTGTGGCTAGCAACAGGCAGAATGAATCTTGCCTAGTTTGTTTGGCCCAAGTGATACGCATATTTTCTCTTTTTGTCAATGTCAAGGATTCCAGATACTTCAACAACTAAAATATTGCTTAATAAAAACATTGAGGCCCACTACATATTTCTCAGGTTTTTGAATGCCCTGTTTAACATGAAAGAAACAAATTTAATTCTAAACATAAACTATAACTTCTAATAAACTAACTTCTGATAAATTTAACTTCACACTTAGGATATTCTAACTTATTTCTCTGTACTCTACAAAATTAATTTTCATTAGAACTGGATTAATCACGGGATGTTTTAGGCAAACTGTTGTCATTGACGTTGTTATCACTGCAGGTTGGTATCTTTTTCATCTATTTTTAAAATTCTGTTTCTGCCTTTTTGTATCAATGCAGCAAGAGCATCTGTCCTGCCCAGACTTCTTGGTTGGATGGGTAAAAACACTCACTCAAGCAGGATTGCTGTTGATCTAGTTGGGACTCCCTCTTTTTCTTTTTGCCATTGAAAGACAATGGCAAAATGAACAGAAAAATCACAGGCATTACTAAAACTTACTAAAACTTAGCAAAAAATTCTATAACATCATTAAAAACACACTTATTAAAAAAAAAAACAAACTCTAAAGCCCACGATCTTCTGTGGGTGAAACACAAATCTTTGCACAATCCACTTTTGCTGTGCATCTTCTGATCCACTTGTGGAGAGATCAGTGCCCTCTTGCAATTGATAAGTTCTACATTCTTCACTGAAATCCATCCAGATTCTGCACCTGTTAAAACACAAATAAACCCAACACCCCCCACAGGGACTGGAGGGTCCTCTCTCAATTCTGTTCCCTAAAACTTGCATGAAGAAATGGAGATATCAACATCTTTGTTATAAACATGAAAAAGCATCAAAAACAAAACAATGCATATAGTAAAGAAACTAACAACAAATAAAAATCAATCAGATAATACACAATTAATATTACATATAAAATCACAGTTACTAAGTGCTACACTATTAAATTGTTACCTCAGAGCCTGCAGCAGCTGACAAACCTTAAAACAACAGAGATTTGGATAAAACATGTCCGGATCATGTCTCTCCAAAACTCCCTTTGAGGCTCAGCTGCCCTATAGGATCAAATTGTCAAGCCAAAAGGACTTGAATACTTTTTGATGCAGAAAACACCTGGGTCAATTACACCATCCACGTAGAGCCAGAGCTTGGCCAGAGCTCAAACCCTAATTGGAGGATATGTATTAACACATTATAAAATGAAATTCTTAGAAATAACTGTTATAAGTAGAAAAAACCCTATTATTAAAAATTTATCAAACCATCAAATAATTGTACCTGTCTAAAATTTCTTTTAAGACAAAAATTCTCTAAATATAACAAACTTTTTCTTTAGAGATCTGAAAATTTGAAGTCTGAAATCTTGAACTAAAACTTGGACAATAAATTTTTAAAAGAAGATGAATTGCAGCTGCATAGAAGATTAGACAAAGAGATTACATGAGTAGTTAAAAAATTAAAAACATAGGATCCTGAAAAAATACATCTTGCAATTAATCACCTAAAAAGACAATAAAACATCTGAAAACTGACTGTAAATATTAAAACAACACCTCAATACCTTAACATCTTAATAATAATTCTTATCACAAAAATCAGACAACTTACATTATATGATCAGCCTATCAACAAGAAATGTTTAAAATAGTTTAAGACAATCTTTTCAAAGCGTTTATATAACATTAGTAACAATCACTACTTATCATTACCTACAAAAACCTGACAATCATAATTTATCTTATTATCTATAAAAACTTTAAAACAGAAATTGCGAACTCAATGCCAACATTCCATCTGACTGAAATTCCTCAAATCTTTGTTTTCAGAAACATTTTTGGCAATTAAATCATTATTAACATTTCTATCTTTATACAGTGATTTTCATCCATATCGTATTTGAAATAACATTGATTTGCATAATGTCCATTCCTCTTGGTATTTTGGAAAACACTCGGTACTGCTATACTTTTTCATTACGTCTTCTGACTCTTGCAAGGAATTGGAAAAATGCTGTTGAAATTTTTGCTGTAGTGTTGCAATCCCTCCATTTGTGACACTGCTGCTCTCGGCATTGTTGTTACTGTGGCAACCAGGCTGTGCAGTCGTCTCCGCCGCCATTGCTGGGTGCTGCAGGGAGATGGGGGGGGGGGGGGCGGTGCCGTCTCGCTCCCGTCCTTGCTGCGTCACTGTGGGGATGGGCGACAAGGAACCTTCTGTCTCTTGGCCGATGTCCGCTCCGCCCCGGGGCCGCCTCAGGCTCGGTGCTGGCCGGCCCCGTTTCAGGGCTCTGCTCTGCTGTTGTTTGAGTTGCTGCTTTTGCCATTCCGCTAGCATTGTGGTGCCCAGCCCCTCCAACCCGCGCCGGGTTGCTCGCCGCCGCCGCCGCTGCTGTGGGGGGGCGAGGGGCCAGCACCGCTTCTCTTCCGTTTCCGCCCTGGTCTCTGCCTTGATCTCCGCCCCTGAGTTCCTCCTCCTGACTTAGCCTTGTTTCATCACCAACTCCGCCTGCCTCCTCAGGTGTCTCCCCGCCTCCCGAGGGACCCGACAGGGCCACTTCCGAGTTTGCCTCACTCCACGGGACCGCGAAGCTGTTAACATCTGCTGCTTTTTTCTCCGCAGTCATGATTTGCAGGGTTTGTAAAACTTTTTTCCAAATGCCTGTAAGCTCTAGCACTATTTTCTTGTCTTTTCTGCCCTCTATCACTGCGTTCCAAAGCAGCTGCCCCAACTCTTGCGATTCGACTTTACTAAAAATCAGCGAAGGCTTTTGCAGCTTGCCTTTGTTTCTTGCCCACAGAACCAACTGTTCCAAATCGGCTTCTTTAACTTTTTCAGCTCTCTTTGAGAGAATATGAAAGAGAAGCTGTACGGAAGCCTGGAGATACCTATCTAAATCAAGCCCTTTAAATTGCCTCCGTCTGAAAAACGAGGTGAAAAGGTTATATGCTGCTTGCCTGTCCATTATTCACGTCAGCGCTGTTGCAGACCCTCTAGGCTTCGGCAGCACGTATCGGCTGAGCCCGCCGTTGCAGTCACTTAGGGCGCGGCACCAGGTAGTGGAGCTTAATCGCCGTCCGTCTAGCTGCGGGACCCGACCCCAACGCAACGTCTCACAGATCCAGGCGGGGGGGTCCCGTCCGTTCGGGCGCCAGATGTTGGTGAGAGTGTCGCGGGAGACAAGCCTCATGCTGTCATGATCAACAAGTCTCAGTTTATTGGAGTCGATTACAGTTTCTTTGTACAAGCACTAATTAGTTCATACATATTGCAAAAGCGAAGCTCAGGATTGGTTACCTTTCTATTAACACATATATCTCTTTGCGATAAGCCTTGCAGTTACTGTTTCTTTATACTTGATTATCTTTCTGCATACTAAGCAATTTTACATCTTGGTTGTTAACGAGACACCTGTATGCTCAAGGTTGTTAGGAGACATCTGTTTCTCAAGGGCATAGTTTTCATGCTACAAGTCACGTATTCTCACACTTTCATCAACTTAACCCTTTCATGTCTCTTGCTGCGCAGCCATTCTTCAGCTAAACTCTCGACAGCCCCTGTTCTAGGTAACCTCTTTAGGCATCACCATGGAGGTGGCATTCCCAGCTGACAATAAACATCTTGCCTTGCAAGAAAGATTGAAGGGAGATAAGCCTTGAATTTCTGACTGAGAGACACTTCACTTTACAAACTAAAAAAGCAACACAAGACTTTCACAAAGCAGAACTCTTCTGCACATTCCCTGGAAATATGTAGCGCTTTTCCCTGAAGTCTGGATGCCTATTTCCGGGATACTTTACTGGAGGTTGAGTGAAAGGACTCTGTGTACTCCATCATCAGTTCAGTAGTAAGATACATTGACTCCTAATCTATACTATATCTTTGCTAGCTATAATATAGGTACCTTTATGTTGTGCACGGTTTTATGTAAATCTACCACTAGTTCTTTTCTTTAAACTGTGTAGTGAGTAAATTGTTTTGAGGCCTCTTGTCTGTTAATCTTCTGTCAATTAAATAAATAACTCATTTTATAATAGATCTGATTTTCCATTTTAAGGAACTTGTGAGCCATGGTGGTTTAGGTGCAGGTCACCTGAATTTAAGCTGCTGCCAGAAATCTGAACCCAAGGCAGGGCTGGTCTAACGCTCACTCAATCGATAACACACCCACGAGTCAGTGCAGAGGTAGAGGTTGGCCATTTCTCTTGCTCACCAATATCTAAAGCCAGCTGGATGGCTTTCAGCTCTTCAACCTGACTTAATCCGCCTTGTCACTCAATAGCTTCTGCGACTCACAGCATAGGACACCATATAGCAGCAGTTATAGATGAATAATGCAATAGTTGACTCTCACAATTAAGGGGTGAATATTAAGTATATGTTAAGAGAAGTTTTGTAGATGTATAGTTATGTTTCCTCTCCCTCTTGCATTGTTATCACAGGATGACCTTAGTAGTCAGCGCATTTGGGAGGGTCGGCTTGTTACTATGGCAACATCTGACCTGCAATCAGGATGCAAGAAAGTGATCTCCACCACTAGACAGCAAAGAAGGAGTAGATTGACAAGACTTTGGGAGGGACTAGAGGTATAAAAGGCAAAACATCCATTTTGTAGACAAGCACATGCTGATTAAATCCTTTGCTCCTGGTGCTGTATTTTTCCTTATTCAGTTATTTGTTGTATTTTGATAAGGTCTTAATAAACCTTTTAAATTTTTAAAAGTGAGTATAATTTCTTACAGCAACTTTCCATTTTCAGCGTATCCCCACAATATGTCAGGAAGCACATTTCACCTTTTCTTCCTCCTCCTCCTCTGATAGTCCAAAATTTTTACTTTCTGGCCAGTTCATGATGACTTCCAAGACCCTGGGGAGATTGGGGTTTCCGATCCGAGCCTGCTGTGTAATTAGCACAACCCACTTACTCCACATAGCATCAGTGGCATGATGTGTGGAAGGGACTTTCCCTTTGAACAATCAGCCCAGCACTAGCAGTCAGGGTGCCAGAAAGAGCTGTGCTTTGCTGCCAATCATCTCAGAAGTAGCTCAAACACCTTCATAAGCTGCCAATGACATCTTGGGCTTTAGTTTGTTTTGTTTTTTTTTCAGATTCTGTGCTGCTTTTCTTAGCGTTTGGAAGCACACATAATCACAGATATGCAGGTTCTTTATTAAGGTGCGCAGGAACTATGGGTATTGGCAACCCAAATCTAGCTCTGCCATTTTGTTCAAGGTGCACGTATTTATACAATTTCAGCTGTGGCACTAATCACTATAACAACCTTACCAATATTGCTTCATTAGAGCTTAGCCCGAGCTTGTCCGGACATGTATGAATCTTATCTATATGTATCTTAGAAACTCCCAATACTGATCCCCGTTACTATAAACATTCTAGCTTGCTGTCCTAGTTTAGGGCAAATTTGGAAGAAAAACCTCTGGAAGGAGCCCCCAGAAAACAAACCCCCACAGCCCCTCCCCACCCACCTGGTTCGGGAAAAAATTTTCTCTGAGAGAAGTGGAAAACAAACTGTTTATTCAACAAAAAAAGCACTTCCCAGCACCAAAAAAAAAAAAAAAAAAAAAATTAACAACACCAGATGACAACAAAACTCTTTCACCACTCTGAAGAGATTAACAAATCTAGAAAGTCTTTCCTGGGAGTGGTCGCCTGGGTCTGGATGCTGGGGATTGCTCTCCGGCACTGGGGATGGCTGCTGCAGATCACAAGGTGCAGGCTCCTGGTGTTCTTTGGTGTTTCCCAGATCCTAGTCCGGAGCAGGTTGGATGGTATTCAGGAAGAGGAAAGGAAAATAAACAGTCCAGGGAAATAATTGGACTGCTTAGCTAAACTAACTAGGAAGCAAAGGCAAAAGCAGAGGCAAGCAAAGCAAGCAAGCCAAGCAAGCAAAGCAAGCAAGCAAAAGCAAGCAAGCAAAGCAAGCAAGCAAAGCAAGCCAGCCAGCACTAGCCTCTTCTAGATAGCAGACCATTGGGGGAGGTGAACTGGCTGATAACAAGACAAAACAAACCTTCACTTTCAGAGTCAGTTCTGAAAGCACAGAACATAATATCAAACATAAACAGAACACATGATTGGAGATACAAACACCATAACGTCACCCTAGGACACTTGCTAAACTATCCTGAATACTAAGCATTCTTTTGGCTTAGTGATACATGATTTTCAGAAACATTTAACCCAGTACCAACACTTTGGTGTGTGGGTCTGGGTTTCATATAAGGGGATAGTAAGCTCTCTTCACAGAGTAGGTAGACACAACAATTCTTTCACTAGTTGGGGACCCAAGGACAACCGATCCAGATCTCAGGCCCAAGACCATAAACAAAGGTAGACTGAAGAGAAAAAAAAAGAAGAATGGGACTTCATGGGCTATGACTTTGTTGGCCCCACATTTGGCCTCCCCCTGGGGGCTCCCCTGACAGGGGAAACCCTCCTGGAGCAGTTTTGTGTCAGGAAAAGGAGACTCACAGGACTTTTTCAGTCTTCAGCTTCTTGTTTTATTGTTACCTTATCAAAACTTCAGCATGCTGTCTGCACCAGATCTTGCATGCATGAAAACAGCAGAAAAATAGCTAGCAATAATCTCGTGTTACAAGTCTTTTTAAGCCTAATCAAAAACTAAGTTGCCCAATTAAGAAGTGACACCTAGATTATTTTCCCTTCTAACCCAATAACTGACCCCTAAAGACCTGCAATGTGGATTTTTCTGCCCAATTACAAGATACCACCTAAACTCATGAAGAAGAAGGAAGAAGAAGGAAGAAAAAGGAACACGAGACAACACCTTATACCCTCCATCTTGTCCCCATCTACAACATACTAAAAAATCCTAAGACCTAAATTTCTCACCCAAGTGACATACTATACTACTCTCTATAATCTATTTCATACTTTTGTGGTCTCTAGTTTATTTTGAGGCTTTGGAGGCCTTCTCCATGAATGAGGGTCAAAGTCAGTGCTTCCCTGGGAGTCAGAACCCCTCAGGGCAGACAGAGAACAATTTCCCTTGCCCTGGGTTTCCACAATGGGCTGGAGCTGTGGTTGGACAATTAGATCCAATATGCTAATGGCCCTGAAGTGATATGTGCAATAAATAAAGATTCCACAACTTGGGGTAGTTATGAAGTGGGTATGTATTGTCAGCGCCTGGCACAAGTGAGATATTTCTCCAAAAACTTGCGCCTCGAGCTTTGGTCTGGCCCACATATTTTTTCCCAAAGGTGTTCCATATGCAGTACATTACACAACTCTTCCATGCATATTCAACCTCTGGCCCTGCCTGTCCTCGCCTCTCATGCGAAATAGGTCCACGCCCTTCTGGGCATGCGTGGTTTGCTTTGGTGGTCGCATGGGGATCTCTCGATGGTCCTGAGGCTGAAGATTGTGTTCTTCCTTATGATTGAAATTTTGAACTTTTCCTCTTTGCGCGTGTGCTTTTGGTCCTTTGGCGCTTATCTGAGTATGTCTGTCAGTCTTGATAGGCTTGGAGACAGAGGAGCCCCTTTATCTGGGTTCTTTGCATCCTTTGGTATTGTTCTTTATGCAAGAAGTTCCAGAAATTTGCATTTTCCTATGCTCTTTGTACCATGGCAGAGGTTTCTTAAGTAAAAGGTTAAAATTCAACACATTAACACAAAGAACATGTTGTGAAGATGATAATTCAGGGCAAAGCAAATGGGGATATTGACTCGTGCTGAAAACCCAAATTTAAATTGGTGGATGTTACCTTTACTTTAGTTCTTTGCACTCCTCTACAGAGAGGTTGGCAGCACTGAGTAATGTGTCTTGTACCATCTGCCTTTGCATATCACTTTCTGTCCCAAAATAGAGGAACTTGATGTACCAAGGGGAGAGGTGTTGCTTTTACATAAGGGTATTGAATTATTAGATAAAACTCCGCACCTTAAACAACTAGGTTAGTTGCCCATTATGACAGCAGCAGCCAGCTGTAAAAAGTTAAGTGGATGCTACTCAGTTCTAATTGGTGACTGGACAGATGATTTGTTCTCTTAGCCACAAAAATGTAACTAGGTGTAGAGGAAAATTTACTTAACTTAAAGTGAAGGTATCATTCTGCCATAAATGTGTCATTAAGGGACTAAGGGGTCTGTAACAGCACCTGAAAATCCATTTTCTACATGCCTTGTTGGTGTATTCTTTACTGTTGGTGTATGGCTATGGATGTCAGGATTTTGAGGGCATGTTGTATGGGTTTGTTAGATCTCAATGGGTCAGTTCACAGGAAAATTCTAGATTTGAAGGAGGGAGTTGGTAATTTACAGGTGGATGAAGGATGGAAATGGTTGAGTGGTTTCCTTGTAAGCTGGAGTATTGCTGGATGGCTTGGGGTACTGTTGG